GAGAGATATAGATAGACAAAAATACTGTAAATATTGGTGGGATAATTTATTTCGGAAATTTAGTATAGTAAAAGGCTGTGGGGGGGTGAGAATCACATAATTAGCAATAGAAGTATAAACAAATTAGTTATAGATACTTTTCGTAAATGTAAGAGAGCAAAGAAATAACTTGATGCTGGGACTCGCATTAAATGGCCTAGGATCCACGTACTCCCTCCCTCTTTGATAGCATCATACATTTCACTTGTTTCTCTATCACTGAAAATCAATAAAGTTTACACATAATAATACATTAATACATACATTTATTGTTTTTATTGTTTGCTTGCATTTCGATTTACTTTTTGACCATGTGCATGTTGAAAAATTGAAATGATTAGTCACTAATTTACACCCAAATTATGATTGAATTGTGACATATAACAAGCGACAAATAGTAATCCTAATATCATAGTCCTAATCCTAACTCGCATCCAAACATATATTATTAAAGGGATTACATGGATCAGAAAAAAAATTAAACTTTTTTGACTTCTAGATTCTGTTGAATATAGTAATACAGAATTAGCCATACATCATAACAAAGGAGGATAAATATTGTGTACTTATATGTACTTACCATTTCATACTGGATATTCATAATAGCTATGAATTTTTCGACAATCACACTTTTGTCCTTCCGGAGCACCAAACTCTTATAGATGTTCATAAACATGCTATCTTGATTCACAGCAAGTTTTAAGATCTGCTTGATGTTTTCTTCCTTTGATGATTTGAGTTTATTAATAATATCTAGGGCAAAATCAAACAAATCTGTACAGTATTCATCTTCATTCTCTTGGTTTGCGATTCCAGCCACTTCATTAAATCTTTTTTGGTCTGTTTTCAACGTCAATCGCTCTATTAGTTTATTATCCAACTCACGTTTAATTTTCACCAATGGATCATATGATTCTTTATCTCCTATTACCCAACAAAAACATGAAAAAGGTTAAAAGGCTAACAAATTGAACACTAAAATGAACCTAGCCAATAGTTACATTTTTTAAACTTTACCTAGACACACAATGACTTTTAAAGCAAGTGTAGACAACCTCTGTAATTCTTCGTCGTTCCACCTTCCCATTTGCTGGGTAATCGCATGCGCATTGCGATTACGCGCCTCAATCTTAAAAGACTTAAATAATTCAGACGGATCAAGCTTATATTCACCGTGAAACAACGTTTGGTTAGAACGTCCGGTAGTGAATAAATTGATATTTTGAATAATAAAATTTAAAATACAAAGTAAGTCCGCATCCGAAAAATTTACTTGGCGTGGAGGATTGCATTTTGTTGTAAAGCTTTCAACAGCCTCCAAAGGAATATATTCTTCGTTGTTTACAATGAACCTGAACAATGCTCTTTCAACGTGTTCTAGAATTGGCTCTACATAAGAACCTTGTTCCGATGATGAAAATGAAAATCTTTGTGGGATCGGTGGTGACGATTCACGTCCTGAAGTTAACGAAGATGAACGATGAACATTTTTTATTTCTCGCACATTTTCCTGTTCATTCTGTACATTTCTTTTTTGTTCAACTCCAAATTCACGATTAATTGACGAATTTTATATAGAGGTGGGGGCTGTACCGTAAGAAATGTTGACAAATTTTGAGAAAATTCGGGCTTTTTTGAAAACAGCACGGTTTTCTTTTTCGATGATCTTTAATTTCCTTTTATTGTCTTTTTTCCTCTCAGGAACAGAGAACAATACGCGTAGTGGCTCATATTCTTTTTGTGACTCTTCGTTTTTCAATAAAGGCTTCAAGGACGAAGTTAAAGCCTTTTTTTGATTGCTTGCAGAAGCCTTTTTATTAATAGGAGGGTCTAACAGAAGTAAACTTTCGATTGTTTCTTCCAACGTGTCTTTAAGATTGTTTTTAATATTTTTTTTCAAGCCACTTAGAAAGTTTCATTTTGATGGATGTTTCCGAATAAACTTCAAGAAAAAATTTTTTTCTGATCTTTTAAATAAATGAACGAGAACGGGGAACCCTATCTTTTAGGGTTCTTACCAAAATTATTAATACCGTGACACAAGTGTCATTTGAAACTTTGACTAGTGATAAACGCGTAATTATGTGACACGCGTTTTTTAAGATAGTATTTTGATAATACAAGTTTCCTGATCTAAGTCGAAAGAAATACATCGGTATTTCCTAGACTAGAATACTGAGAAGCCGAGAAACACTTAGTGTTTTGGTAGGTGGAAAGATCCCGAGGAATCGAGAAACACTTCTTTGTGTTTTGGTAGATGAACCGGGCCAGGGGCCGAGAAGCCGAGAAATACTTTTGAATTTCTAGGCGGAAAAGAACCCCAAGAAAACCGAGAAACACTTCTTGTGTTTTAGTAGGTGGATGAATGGGGCCGGTTGACCAAGAAACCGAAAAAGCATGTGTATTACGTGCTTCGTAGGTGGTGATAATCCAACAAACATATTTTGTAGCTTGACGAAGCCGAAAATAATGTTTTTAGGTGTATGGTTGCGAGGGACTTGTATTATCAAGCGAACTCTTTTGGCTATTGTTTTGTTTGCAAGCTTGTTATAATTATTTATAAAGGCCAGTATTGTGCTTTAATATTGATGGAATTTGTGTGATTCTATTGCAATCAGTTATGCTAACTATAAATGTTTACGCAACTACTTTGATAATAAATGAGGGTTTGTATGTTTGTGAAATTTGAAGACCGTTTAAAGTTTGCACGAATATATATATACACTTCGAGCCGTGAACAGGAATTACTTGACCAAATCGCTTCGTTGCAGGCATTATTCAACAGGTATGGTACATATGACTTATAGTACCTAGCTGAATTTGGGCGAACAATGTTCGCTGAAATCTCCAAGCTACTGCTCGAAAAAAGATTTTACTAACCCGGCTGTTGCATTACAAAGTTCGACGTCGGAAGGCATACAAATGGGTGGCGAACATCGGACATGCGTCTCTCGAGGACGTCAACACGTGATACGTACAAACCACACGCACTTGAAAATAACTAACTTCATGAATGACGGAGGAAGGTATTCGCCTAGGAACGATGTCTCATTCCGAGGGATGTTGCGGTCGCTAGTATTGAAAACGAGTTTACCATATTCATTGAGACTCCCTGAAACCATTTAATGAGTGGTCGTTTCCAAAATAGCGATGACCCGAATCCTAGCATTGACATGTATCCTGTTTTTTTGTGTGGTTCTGCCGACCTGAATAACGAAAAGTCCAGAGCCGTGGTTAAGCATTTGATGGCTGAGTTGAACCTTCGTAAAAAGACCACCCCATTGACATGGCATATGAAGCAACGAAATCTACCCATTCGTACTGTTACCTAGCTAGCGGTGTATCATTATATGAGGATGATTTCAAATAATACTGTCAAGGGACATAACGGGCAAGGAAATCTCGATTTGGCGATAGAATGTCGTTCAACCGGAAGGATTCCTGGATTAGTCTAGGTCAAAAAAGATGACTTTAAACAAGGCTTCGCGCAAGCCAATGAAATCGATGATGAATATGATATGAATAAATATGGGGGATTGTAACCGATGCAGAAAAATGTTACTTCATGGAATGTACGCTTGATAAGGAGAGAAAGGGTCCCTTCGGAACCGGTGGTCGTTGTATATAACGATGAAAATATAGAAAAAACATGGTTAGGAAAGTACTTGGTCATATCGTTTGGTTGTTGGAGGAGGCACAGAAACCCAGGGAGACCAGGAATCGAGGGAAATAAAACATCGAGCAACAAATCAGATAATTAGATTTTAGTATAGACGTCATGTATCACGGGCTAAGTCCCGATCTTGTATTTATTTTTCGCATGTATTAATAAAAAATTTCAACCGGGAGCGCCCCAGTCAAAAACACGTATTTTTTTTGTTATTTTGAATGCTTATATGCAGTGTATTAGTTATATATAGATCATGTCATCCGAGCTTGAATTATTAAAACAGCGTATCACTGAACTTGAAGCTAAGAACGACAAGCTTGAGGCAGGGCCCCTGAATATACTATGATAGAACCCTGTCGTACACTTTTGAAATTTTTTGGAAAGTTTTGTCGTACTGTGATACAAATTTCCTTTTTAAACGATCACGTGTTGCTACTTTTATCGTACACTTATTAGTCTATAAGAAAAAAAATTCGTCGTACATTCATTTAATGGTAAAAAAGATTTGTTGTACACCTATTTAATTAAAAAAAGAGATTCGTTGTACATTTCTAA